CCCCGCGGTGCTGAAGAGCCTGCTGCCACCTCTCCAGCCACCAAAACTGCCTCCCAGCCCTGCCTTCCCCCCCAAAAGCCCCCATTTCAAACCATTCTCACCTTCAAAAGGCCTTTCTTCAGCTGCTGGAATTATTTCGCACAGCGACTGCAAGGATGTCCTCGGTGGGGGGAAAAAAAAAAAAAAAAAAAAAAAAAGAGTATTCTGCAACTTCTGGGAGATCCTCATGTCATCCGCTGCACTTTCTGCGAAAGCAGGAGGCTTTTGGAAGCTGTCCACCGTGCTCGGGAAAGGCTCGACTCAGCAGGTACCGGGAACTGCCAGCTTCCACGTGGCAGCGAGCATCCCGAGTTCAACAGCCGCCCTCTCGGCCGTGTTAGTTCCAGTTTCTTTACTAAAAGCCTGCGGTCACTCTCAGCGCTTGCCCGAAAGCTCGGTCCCCCGACGCAGTGTAACGTTTTATTAGCAGATAGGTGGGCATTGCTCGTTCTCATTCCGAACTTGCCCATTTTCACTTCTAACACCGCGCTCCTCGGCTCCCCGTTTAAAACGCAGAGGCACGTTATCTTTCATCGCTGCACTCAATACCGTTTGCAGGGCATTAACCTTGGCTCTAAGTGTTCGGAATTGATCTTCTGGTTTCCAATTCCAGCGTTCAGATCCCCAAATTGTTGGTCCACAGAGACTAATTTGCCACCGGAATAATCCATTTGTCACCGCGGGATTTTAAACCGAGGCTCCGTTTTTGCAGCCATAGACTGTAAATGCAGTAGGACTCCTTCCACGATTATTAGTTACATCAATTTGAGAAGCTTCTCCGCACGGAGGGTCGGATGATAACACAGCCTCGGGGGCAGAGCAGGGAGGCTCGAGAGGCTCAGCTAATTGGAAATTAAAGGCAAGAAAGAAATTCCTTGGACTCTTAGCCCAGGAGGATATTAAGCTTTTAGCGTTTAGCAGACGTATTTAAATGTAAAGAAAGGAACATCACATAGAAGCAGCCTTAGACATCATCTTTTCCTTAGCTCTTAGGCTTTCCAGCTTGAGACAGGGAGCCATCAACAAACCAGCTTTGCTGCTGCTGGACCCCGACCGGCCAGTAAACCCCCCGCAGAGCCGCTCCTCTGCCGACCGCTATCGCACACAGGCAGCCCCTGCAAAGCCACCACCCGCCCCAGTACGGGCAGTTCGCACAACTGGGCGACCATCACATGGACCAACTTCAGACTGGAGGCTCGGGATAATTACGAAGGGCAAATGAGGCGATACGTGCTGGCTGCGTCGCGACGCAAGGCGCCTGTCGGTTTTGAGCTGCCCCGTGCTAAGCTGCGGCGCTCATCCTGGGGGACGCAGCCTCGGGCCACGCACGGCCCTGGTCCCCACACCGGCCTCCGAGCTGCACTCAGGCAGCTGTGTGGGCTGGGAAATTGATCCACGGTAAAAATAATACCGGGAAAACAAAACAAGCTATATTTAACCCGGAGCAATCCCATGATCTGGAGGGCGTGAGAGGGTCCCGAAGCGAGGTGTTACTCGGTTGTTTTACAGGTGTGCACAGACAAATCCTATAATGCGTTTCTGATAAATTAGTTTATTTTTCTTCAGTAGTTCTTCACCTCGCAACTTTAAAATCTGTACATCTTTGGGAAAGGCATTGATTTAAAATTCTTCCTGGCTATCCAGCTGTACAACTACTATTCTTATTTAAGTTTAAAGCAGTAGTTTCTTCACATTAAGCTCTGATCTCTTCTAATAAACAGACATGAAGCAGATAATAAACAGACATCAAGTCAATTCTCTTATAGCAGCCAGCGTTCTAGTGCAAAGTTTGCATCCAGTATCTTTGCACTGAGAGATTATTTCAGTGAGGAACGAGGACTTTGTGTGCTGGGTGGCCAGACAAGCACCGTCTGTGCTGAGAACAGGGTGGCTTGTCCAAGCGAGTTCCACCCAGAGGGCAAAAGCACGGGCTTCAAAGCTGCAAGCTGTGAAAGAGTAAAGAATGAAGCGGCAGGCAGGCAGGGGGGGGACGCGGGGAGCAGGCATCCAGTACGCTCACCGTGTGCAGACTGCAAAGGCTAAGAACTGAGAAACGTGCCTGGGCTGGCGCTCGGGCGATGAGCTGCGATCCTGCGACGCGATCTCTGTAAGCAGCGCGTAGAAAGCCAAAGCGCCGCGACAATGCGCAGCAGACACCTCCATAGCTATTTGAGGGCCGACAGCGACTTTCAGGGAGTTGCAGTGACAGACTCCCTCCTCTGGTGGCAGCTTTATCTGCTGATAACAGTGAACTGCAGGGTTCTGAATACTTCTGGGTGACAGAAGCACTAAAGCAGAGGTGGACAGCACCCAGAAAATGGGAATTTATTGGTTTTGTCCCGTCTCCTGTGCTGACGGACGCACACGACTGCTGCAAGTCCTCCTACCAGTCCTTCTCACGTAGCATCGGTGAAGAACAGGCTGAACAGAATCTCTCAAGCCTTGAGCTATATCTACACTATGTCAAAACAAGGAGAAATGTTATGGATGAACTGGAAATGCCTTGATATACTGGAAGGATAATTAGGAGCATCATAAGGCATCTAAGACATTTGGACTATAAACAAACGCCATTTGCAGATGCACAAGCAGTGAGTTTCAGAGGCTCTGCCAGCCGACGAAGTGTGGGCTGTGAGTTCTGATAGGTGGAGCAGTAAGAGCCGACTCAAGTGCTGTTCTTACCACAATCTTACAGGATTAGCCAGCTTCATGAGATATACACGAGGAAATACTGTGGAGGGGATTACAGGTGGCGTAAACCATGGGAACGGAGAGAATGAGAGCGTTTGGGAGTACAGGGAGGGTAAGAACAAGCAGTTGAGAAGCCCAGAGCGGGCAGTAGGACAGCAGTTACCAGAGAAGCAGAGCTTTCAACCGTCTCAAGCCAGCCCCGAGCTTTGCTTGGGAAGGAAACACGGCTGTTTACAGGTTCAGAGCACCTCGACTTTTCCCAAGGCAGCACAAGCGCCAGGCGGAGAGGGCACGTGTACTGTACGAAACGCTGGAGTGGTGGAAGCGGAGCTGTCGGTGCTGCAAACAGCTTGTTCAGGGTTGCTTCCAGCTACTCCCCTGAAGCCCCGGAGTAACCTTGCTCGGTTTTGTTCGAGACACGTTTCTTAGCAAGAGCAAAGGGCGTGAAGGAGGCTCAAAAGCAGATGAGAAATTTGCAATGTGAAATTGTGCAAAGGATCGGCATTTACCATGAACTCTGTTTAAAGAAGTGCTACACCCAGGCTGTGGAAAGTTTGGACAGGGAGAATTCCTCAGAGCGCGCACACTGGAAACAGGGTCAAGAGTTAATATCTGATGTAAACGGGCACTTCCGAGCCTGCAGTTGGCTGGGTCCAGATCATGAGACTAGAAGCGTGACCTAAACCATATTTGGACCCAGATTTTTGGAAATGAAGAAACCCCCTGAAATGAACAACTGACCCCCAGCTCCCCAAGAACACCCTGCACACCATCAATAAGGCAATACTTACATGAACACCACCTTCAAATTTCTTTGTACCATTACTAGGGAATGTTTGCAGCTCCAGATGGAAGGAGGGCAGGGCGTTCTCCCTGGAGCCAGCCCCTTAGTCGGGAACGGGGGGGGAGCACTTGTTTGCACCCAGCGATGCACAGCAGCCGTACAGCTGCACCCAGTACTCGCAAGTTTAGGAAGAAAGGAAAACCAGGTTGGTGTCCAGATTTCACAATGGAAATGAAATGTTAAAACAACAAGTTACAGGCAAGCAAAACAAGGGCAGTTTGGGCAGGGTTTTCTGGCGGCTGTAAGCTTCCTGAACAGTCCCCCATGGCTGCTGTCGGGGCATCTGAACGAGCAATGATTTGAGAGAGCAGGTTGGGTGGAAGGAGCAAGAGAAGAGGTGCATCCATGGCATTTCTGAGGTGGTGGCAGACTTGTGGTTGTCCAGAGAGCTTTTACAGTTGAAATAAGTCTTCACTGAAAAGTTACCATTTACGGAAACAACTAAACCAACCAAAGAGTACAGGCTAAACCCTGAGCTCTAGCAATATAAACACTGGCCCTGTTGGAAGAGCAAATGATGATATCACACATACATCACACCCCTCCCTGTGTAAACAGGAGTGCCGACATGAGAAGACATGCTTTGTAAGCCGCGTGTCTGGTTGGTTATAGCGTTCCTGTGTCACTCTTGAAGGCTGCAGAGAAGATCAATGAGGCCAAAAGCACTTCCTGGGATCAGACTTGGGCGGTTTCAGGCACTTCCCTAGCTTCTCACAGCCTGGAGGAGACCAATTCTGTTAAAAACAAACAAAAAATATACAGAAAGGTGATTCATACCAAGTATTTGCTAAGCCCTAAGCCTAACCAACCCTTTTTGATTCTCGCAGACACTCGTGTCCTGCTTGAAAAATGAAACTCCTCTTGCAGCTCATGCTCCTGGGCTCATCGCTTCCCAACTCCAAACGCTATTCAAAAAAGGCTTTTGGAAAGACTACAAATCCTTCTGCAGCAGGTGATTCCCTCTTCTGGGATACAGTGGCCCCTCCTGTACAAACGCAGTCTGCTAGAATTCTGGTGACCTTCCTCTCTTTCCTCTAGTAGCCTGGAGCAACCAGACCATGAGGTTTTGGTGAAATCCCCATGGTGGGTTACAATCCCCATTCTGCCTTTGGAAATTCATTCCCTGTCCCTCCTTCTCGTCTGTCCCTCCTTCTAGTCTGTCCCTCCATGGGAGATTCCCGCTGTTGCCTATTACAGGTCAGTTCAGCTCTGACCTATTGCCTTCCATTTTATTTATTTTTAACCTTTGAGTCATTTACATTTTCTTGGAATTAAATTCCTATGGAGTAAAAGAAAAGCTTAACCCCAGAAAAAAATGCCGGAGCAGGTTTCTATTCCATACAGCTGACAACAGATGGCAGTGAGACACCGGCTATCTCTGCAGAAGGAGCAGACCATGGAGGGGAGCTTTGGCAGAAGGCACCTTAATTGCATGAAGGGCTCCAGACGGTTTAAGAACAATTAATGCCATTTTCTAAATCTTTTTCTCGATTTTAAAATGTACAATCACCACTGGAAATTTCAGATGCCTGACCACTCTGTAGAAGCAATAGAGATCGAAAGAAACAAATGAAATATTTGTTCTTTTGAAAAACAACAAATCGTATCTGCTTCAGTCTCACAGCCCAAGCCACCTTTCCTGGATCTGTAAGCGCTGCAAGTCAAACACGCAGTCAGGCCAGCACGGCTCCACTGCATGGAGCAATTTCTCCTACACTTCCACAGGAGGAAAACCATAGCAGAACTGGCTCCGCGGGAGCTTCGTCAGCGCTGCTGGTGGGATACACCACAGATGGGCCAGCAAACGCTTCTCCTGCTCAGGAGGGCTGCTGCTGCTAAGCTGACAGCAGTCGCTATACTGCAGTAGCTACAAAACCATCCATCTGCTTTGCTCATGGATAAGTAAAGACAATTCTTCTCCTCTGTCCCAGAAGGGATATTAAATGCCCATATCAAATAAAGGGGTGACAGAATTCAGAAGACAGTGTTGGGCATGGTATTAGTAGATGACATTTATCTCCCAGCACCGTCCAAAGACAGACTTAGGGCCCAATCAATCCCAGCAATACTGTCACTCCAAAAAAGATTTGGTTAGCTTCATCTCTGCTCTCAACAGGCAGTAATTTGGTGCCTGTTTATTTTAGTTTTGTGACTGTGTAACTAGCCTGTTAGGAGTTTACACAGAATAGAAAACTCATCATGTAAAAAAGTTTCCTGCTGGGATTTGCAGATTTCTCCCGGGATTAGAATCCCCCCCTGCCCACCAGGCAGGGCTTCCTACCTCAGACAGCCTGACCTGGCCTGAGCTTGGCCAAGCATTGGAGCAGTCATTAGCTGCCTCTGCTTATAGACCGGGCCGGCATAACTGGACTGGTTAACAGTTGGACTTGATGATCTTAAAGGTCTTTTCCAACCTAAACGATTCTGTGATTCTATTCTGTGATTCTATGACTTGGCCAAGCCCTGGAGATTGCCATAGCAAAAGCAGAAGTGGCAGCCCACGGTCTGCAGAACTCCTACTCGGCTGAGACAGAACGAGGCATGCTCAGGGAGAAGACCGACTCTCGATAGCCCCAGGGAGAGGGCTGGGGTGCGGGACCAAGCATGGGACCTCCAGTTCAGCACTTTTTCCATTATGCAACCCAAAACCACCGGGTGGTGACAAACAGGGATACCAGATGTTTTCACAGCACCTAAACCCACTGCGCCAGGGTAGCTGCAGAACAGCGGAGGATGCCTACAATTTGTGAACCCGTTTTGGAGTTGGAATTAGCCCAGAAGAAATGCCTTTCCAGTGAAGGTCTCTGGCAGCAGCCAGGCACTGGGGAGAGTGCCTGAACCCAAAAGGTCCCAAAGGAGCACAGAACAGTGTTTATTAAGGGAAAAGTTGAATAACGAAAGAAAACAACACAGAAACAATGGTCCTTCAAATCTTTTTCCTACTTAGCATCCAAAAATAAAAAGATGTGACAAAGCTAAAAAAGATCTTTGCCTTCTTACTAAGGAGACACAGCTCCACATTTTGTACGTTTCTGTCTGGCTGGAGATAGACCCTAAGCAGCAGGTACTGACTGTTTCAGAAGATTATTTCAGCGTCAGAAAGATTTTGCCTGTTGCTATTTTGTGTCAGCCTACAGGCACATCCCCTTAGACTACACACACTCTTGTCATCTGACTTTACCTCCTACAAACCATCCCGTTTCTTTCCCAGGTTCTCAACAAACCAAGCAGCATTGGACAGGAAAGCCAAATTGTAATTTTCCAACACGCAATTTGAAACAGAAAACAGAACTGAAAATGTCTGTCGTGTTTCAAGCCATAAAGGCTTTAAAAAAGTCAGGCATGGGTGGAATTGGAGGAGATCGAGCAAGACCAAAGTTACTCTCGCACATCACTGATAAAGAGCCACTGTCCCAGTCCCACCAATGAAAAGACAGAGGACTTTTGAGATTTGCAGAAGGGGATTAGAAAGGAGAAGAAGAATCTACAGCTGTAGATACTGCCCTATCTCTAAGGAAGGAAGCCACGGAGTTTATCACAGCATGCTGGTAGACCTAACCCCACTCACACCGTACGAGCCTTCCTATACCGCTGCATTCCACAGGCAAGAAACAGCCCTCTCCTCTGTGGAACAGCCAGACAGCCCTTCAAACAGGCGAGCATGCATCTCTTCTCCATCCCTTCCCAGCATTAGGTGACGTTTTTAAGCCTTTACAAAACATATTTTAAGCTAAAGATTCTCAAATGCGTTTATGCTTTAAGCACTCACCATGACGGCCTTGTCGCACACGTTAAGCTGCGGCTCCCCTGGCACCATGGTCGCTTGGTGCTGCTGGACAACAACAGATATTCGATCCATAGCCCTTTGGTATTCATCGCTGGCAAAACTAGAACATGAAAAAAATACAGACGTTATTAGCGGGGCTTCATACACGGCATCATTACAGCGTCCACGTCACTAAGCTAGGTCAGAGGACTTTTCCTGGGCCATAGCAAAGGAGAAGAGTATGCAAACGTGCAGTTGACACTGATCGCCCATGGGACCGTAAGGGAATGAAACATCTGGGTTGACAGAGTCCAGCCTGGCTGGGCCTGGAGGCTGCAGGTCTGGGATGCTCTGCTTAGGGCAGTGAGGATGGCAGATGGCTTGCCCTCCCCAGCAAAGAAACACATGGCTCTGGGCAGATCATCTCAGCATGGGATTTCAGCTTTCAAATACTGCTAGTCCCGGTAGCCCCAAATGTGTCGCTTCGTAGTCAGGCAGACATGCCGCAAGCTCGTGTTGATGCCCGAGGGGAATCCTGTTGGTTGAAGGTGTCAGGTACAAAGCAGGGTGCTTCTGGGGTTGTCCTTGAGCTGTGCCTTAAATGATTATCACGGGAGGCTTCCTAGGCACAGGACAAACACCTTGCCAGACCCATTAGTACATAAACAAGTTCGTTCAGGCGATCCTTCCAATGTGTCACCCAAGAGGTCATCCAGCTCTCTGCACGTTCATCCTCCACTCTTTCAAGTGCTTCTCTGAACACGTCCATCACGCGGAGGCGTTTATTGTTGGGAAACGAAGGTAACATCAAGACTTTGTTTTTCAAGAGTGTTCTCAAGCTAAGGGTTTCAAACACAACCGTTGGCTACTAAAACTTCACAATCACCAAGTAAGATGAACTAATATTATGCAAACAGGAAGATGGAGAAGAAGAATAGAAGTGACTTGTCCAAGACAAGAATACCTCCTCCATTTCGCAACATCCACCCTGGGGTTCTGCCCCATCTACATTCTTCCATTACAGTTTTATTACTCCAAGCTGGGACCCATCTGTCATGCTCCAAGCCCTCATACTGGGTTATAAATTACCAGATTTTTATCCACCCGATGACTCCAGTAGGTACTTGTTTAAGTGGTTCAGGGTGTACTTCACTAATACTTCAAGTACTTCTAAAATGGAGGATTACTACCCAATGATCTCATTTTGCCCATCACGTTAAGAGTCACTTAAAAAACAGAGAGCGGCAAATTGCTTCTGAAGATAAAAGAAACAATGCAGCTTGGTCCTGACCTCAGGCTCCCTTTGCTTACAGTCCAAGCTGGCCACCAGCCCCACACTCCAGCTAATTTCCTTCTTTGAAAAACAATCACATTTGGAAGCCCCGTAATGTGCCAACAGTTTCCAGTAAACCCTATAAATATCACATCTCGGCAACCATCCAGAGAGAAGCTGATTGTGGGGATGGGCCTGAGCTTTGCTGATAGAGAACCGGAAGGGAATTTGAAATGACAAGCTCGAGCAAACTAATCTGTTGCTCTCACACCCCGTTAGCTGTATCCTGGTGGAGAGGCTATCACCGGGACCGGCTGTCTGATCGGTACGGACCACCCTGACATTCAGACTATTCTCGCAAAGCTCCCGAATTTGCTCCCTCCTCTCCCCACGTGTCCCACCCTGCCCTGCCCCAGAGACTCTGCGGAAACCAGCGGGATCGGCAGAAGTTTGGGAGCTGCCAAAGACCATCTCTGACTCACACCCTGATGAGGACACTGGAGGCAGCAATCGCTTGGCTCCCAGTGTTGCATCCCGGTGGCACAATGGCCTTTCAGTTTGGCGAGATTTTATCTGGAAGCTGCCTGGTCGCATTTCAAGCGCGCAGGATTGCCAGCCCGGCAGCATGCTTGAAAAAAATCAAAACAGATTTTTTAAAAGAGGCAGGGAGGGTTTAAAGCTAACTGGTGCTGACACGCAGAGGCCAGTGAACACGGGAGAGCCTGCGCACGGAGAGCAAACGCTGGGGAGGCAAACACGCTGAGGGAGCCTGCCTAAAACCGCAGGCGAGTCCCAGGGTTGTGCACAGCGTGTTGGACGCCCGAACTGGAGACTGGATGGAATGGGGGGGCCAGAAACATTGGAAAGCTTACACACTCCAGTGAGGGAAACGGAGGGGGAATGTGGTTTAGGGAGACACGTGCATGGCAGTGGTTTAGATTTCCAATGCACCTATTGTGCCAGGATTTGAAAGCTCTTCCAAACCCGCACTAATCACACTTCATTAAGATCCTCATATGAAGGATTAATATGAATTAATACATACTTTAATCAATTGTTAGAGTCTAACAGATACTCTAGATATCAAATCATTTAATGCCTCCTCCTGCTGCTCTTCTAACGATCTAATGTGTTTATTTCTGCCACATACTTGTGTCATCTCTCCAGCATTTAAGATCTTCTTTTGGAAGTGGACCCGTAAGATAAAATGTTGCTGCTGACTAATTAAGCTCCACAGCATCTTTTCAAATATTTAAGTGCTAAAGAGATAGCCCAATTTGGTCCATCGAAATGGCTTTTCATACATCGGATTCCAAATTAGCTCTAATCTGGACAGACCAGTGGAAAACACAGCTGTGGTCTGGATGAAAGATAAACAATATGTTGTCATGACTGCTGCTTTTTGCTCCAAATATGCCAGTCCTGTTGCAATGAAAAACATCTTTTTGCTATAATCTCAACTACCGCGTTTATCCACGGCCTTGTCGCTCATTAGCAACCTAAGACATGTGAATGACGCGGTATAACAAAGTAGGCTCGAGGCATTTAAATCATCATCTTGCTTTAATTCCCATGCTCAGGACACTCCTGGCTTTTTTCAGCTAGCTCAGCAGCGACAGGAAAGCTTGGCCTAACCCCAGGTCCCCATGTTTTTGAATAGCTCTCCTCTGCAGCTTCTACACTTTCAGATAATTTCAGCATTTAGCATAGGTCGAATGACATCCCCAAAGCACGACAGAAACGGCTTGGCATGTACAAAAGACTTGCACTTCTCACACAAGTACAAAGCTGGCTAAAGCTAAAGAACATGTATAGATTATGCTCCGAGTCGTACCGCTAACCTATAAACCTTGTCTCAGTAGGGCTTAACATGCTCTTAAGCTGGCTAAACCTGTTGACACTAGCTTAAAACATATCCGATCGCAGCTGTCTTCCTTGTGTTGAAGTACAGCGACGGACCCCCACTGCTGTAAGGCGTCATTCAATACTGGAAGATCATCACAGATCGTCTTCAGATGCCTCAGTTGAACACAGGAACTATCTTCCTCATCCAGACATGTTATCAAGTCTCCATGCGTAGCAGGGGACTGCAATGCCTGCAGGATGCCACCAGCCCCAGGGCTGGCATTCCCGTGAAACTGGAATCACAAAGAGACGGGGGTTGGTTTTCCCGTCCTGGCCCCACAGCGATCCCCATTCCTCACTCTGATGAGCTCCGGTTTTGCTCAGCAGACCTGTTTAGCTCCAGAAAGCATACCAAGATCCAATATCCATGCAGCAATTTGTAAAGTGTTTGCTGAGTGCATATGGGGTGTTAAAACCATCTCCAGCCCTACGCAAGAAGTGCATTTTGAGACAAAATCTCCCAACTAAGAGTGCCTTTAATCTGTATGTAAGATGGGGATAATTACTTCATGGTAATCAGGCTGAGTTGTTAAGGGCACTGGGAACCTCCCTTACTCTTACCTGGAGTCCCATCATTTCCCTGCATGCATATGCAGGGCTGAGCTGCGAGGGCAGGGTCTACTACATTCTCCATTCCAAAAAAGTGATATTATCTATACAGGTGTTTAGGCATTATTGTCTGCATGAAGATCCAGACCTCGCTGCCTCCGGGGCATGCTGCATTTTGTATTCTAGTTCAACAATCCTGCAGAAGGAGAGCTGGGAATAGCACTAGAAGAATGAGAGGGTGAGCAGGTGGTGTTGTGAGGACTTTGCTAAAAGAGATCCCCCAGCGTACACGAAATTATTCCACGCTCAGAATGAGGGAACGGAGTGGACAAAGTCCAGGGTCATTACACTAATTGACACTTTACCTCCTGGAGGTCTCTGGAGATCCAATCAGGGCTGGATTGCGAGCGCCGGGGTCCCAGGCACAGGTGTGGCCTGTGCTTCCTTCATTTAGCGTAATTGTGCCTTGGCAATCTGTTCCCATCTCCTCCCTCGCCAAACAACTCCAGTGTAACCTGCTCTGCTATTAACCCCACCATGCCCTACGCTGAAATCCAGGTTTGGAAGAAGGAGGGTTTGTCTCACACGCTGCCTTCGGTGTCAGAGCTCTGGTTTGATCTCGCAGGCATCAGAGTCTTTCACCTTCAGGTCTGCCGAGCGCCCTGAGCTGTAAGGAGGAAGGGGGGGCGATTCTCTACCATCATAAATGCGCTGTCAAATAGCTCAGAACCCAGAGCAAATTCAAGAGCGTTTTTTTAAAATCTAGATCTTGATGTTTTATACCTCATCCTGTTCATCGTATATGGGCGCAGTGCGGTACGTCTATCCTGGGAGAGACAGGACTCATTATTATCAAGAGGAATGCAGCAAAATGGGAATTCTACAGCACTTCATAGAAACCCGACAGTGGGCTCTTAACAGCAGCTTTCAGATTCACAATGTGTTTTACCAGACGCACATGAAGTTATGGGAAGAGCATAACACTTGGCTAGTGTTTTGTATGTTTTACTTCTTCTCCACTGGAATTATTTTAATTAAAAGCATTATTTTTAATTGTGAAATACACCCAGATTCAGGAAATCTGATTTTATCTGTTATCAGTGCTGTGAGGCCGCTCAGCACTGTAGTATCCAAGTCTTGATCTTGTCCTATTATTCTGTCTTCCTCAGTTCCTCTCTTCTATTACCAAGCTTATTTGCAATTTAAAGTCTGCACAAGACATGAGGCAGACAACAGGTTTGGGGCTCTGCTGCTGAAACATGGCAGTTTGCAATTACTGGGAAGATCCATAGAGCCAAAAGAAAACAAAAAAGGGATCAAACAGAGGAACACTGGGCTGCTCATACCCCCGTTCACCTCTCTGGTCCAGCAGCATCTGCGGGGCCCCAGATGCA